TTATCATATTTTCTTTCATAGAGTACATATGGGAAAGACTCAGATCATTTTAATTGACATCAAATTCAAATCAGCCAATAATATGATGTGGTCTTAAGGAGTACTGTCCAAAATGGAATACTTTGGGGTAGTGAGACATGAGTTCCTTATATACTCCAGATATTAGCACTTATCAGATGTATAGTTTACAAATATTTTCTCCCATTCTATAGATTGTTTCTGTATTCTGTTGATTGTTGTTTATGCTGCACACAAGCGTATTAGTTTGATGTAATTCCATTTGTCTTTTTTTTTTTTTTCACTTCTGTTTTCTGTACTTTTGGGGACTTGTCCATAAGCTCCTTGTCTGTTCTAATGCCTAGACACACTTTCTTATTTTCTTCTAGTAGTTTCATGTTGTATATTTAAGTCTTTAACCCATTTCAAGTTGATTTTTGAAACATGAGAAATACGGTTCTCTATTTTTTTACATGTAGATATCCAATTTTCCCAGCACGCTTTATCAAAAAGACTTCGTTCTTCAATGCATGTTTTTAGCACCTTTGTTGAAGATCAATTGATTGTAGATGAGTGGGTTTACTTCTAGGCTTTCTGTTCTGTTCCGACTCAGTTTCTGTTTTATGCCACTGTCATTCTGTTTTTTGTTTTTTTTTAGAGAGAGAGAATTTTTTAATATTTATTTCTTTTAGTTCTCGGCCGACACAACATCTTTGTTTGTATGTGGTGCTGAGGATCGAACCCGGGCCGCACACATGTCCGGCGAGCACACTACTGCTTGAGCCACATCCCCAGCCCCTGTCATTCTGTTTTTATGACTGTAGTTTTGTAGTATCGTTTGAAGTCAGGTAGTATAATATCTCCTGCTTTTTTTCTTTTCACTCAAGATTACTTTGGCTAGTTGAGGTGTATTGTGGTTCCATACAAATTTTAGTATTGTATTTTCTAGTTCTTTGAAGGATATTATTGGTAATTTGATAGGGTTTGTGTTGAACCTGTAGATTGCTTTGAATAGTACCAATATTTGAACAATATTGGTCATAGTATGACTTTCCATTTTTGATGTCTTCTTCAATTTCTTTTCATCAGGGTTTCATAGTTTTCATTGTAGAGATCTTTCACCTCTTTGATTTAATTTATCATCTCCCTCCCTCCCCCTGTTGTAAATAAAGTTGCTTTCTTGATTTCCCTTTTAGATAATTCTGTATTGGCATATAGCAACAGAACTGATTTTTGTACATTGATTTTTTTAACCTGCAGCTTTGCTGAATTCATTCATTAGTTCTGAGCTTTTTGGTGGAGTCTTTGGGGTTTTGTATACCCAATATTATGTCATTTGCAGAGATAATTTGACTTCTTCTTTTCCTCTTTGGATGCACTTAATTTCTTCCTTTTGCCTGACTGCTTTGTATAGGGCTTCCAGTACTGTGTTGGATAAAAGTGGGCATTCTTGTCTTGTTCCAGATCCTATGGAGAAAATTTTCAGATTTTCCTTATTAGTACAATGTTAACTTATGATAAATGGCCTTAATTTTGTTGAAATGTATTCCTTCCTCATCTCATTTGTTCAGATTTTTATAATGAAAAAAAATGTTAGATTTTATTAAATTCTTTTTATCATCTGTTATCAAGATTTTTCCTGCATTCTGTTTATGTTTTAGGTCTGTTTACTGATTTGCATGTGTTGAACCATCCTTGCATTTCTAGAATAAATCCCACTTGATCATAGTGAATAATCTTTTTAATGTACTGTTAGATTCAGTTTGCTAGTATTTTCTTTTTTTTCTATTTTTTTTAATATTTATTTATTTTTTAGTTGAACATAATACCTTTATTTTGTTTATTTATTTTTATGTAGTGTTGAGGATCGAACCCAGGGCCTCGCGCATGACAGGCGAGCGTTCTACCACTGAGCCACAACCCCAGCCCTGCTAGTATTTTCTTAAAGATTTTTACATCTGTGTTCATCAAGGATATTGGCCTATAGCTTTCTTTCTGTGTGATGTCCTTTTCTGGTTTGGGCACCAGGGCAATGCTGGCTCTGTAGAATGAGTTTAGAAGAATTCCCTCTTCTTCAATATTTTAGAATAATTTAAGAATTGGTATTAGTTCTTTAAATATTTGTTAGAATTTAGAAGTGAAACTGAGCTGTACATTTCTAAGTTATAAAAATAATAGGTTGTTGGGCTGGAGTTGTAGCCCAGTGGTAAAATGCTTGCCTAGACAAATGAGGCACTGGGTTCAATCCTCAACACCACAAAAAAATAATAAATAAAATAAAGGTATTGTGTCCATATACAACTAAAAAATATTTTTTAAAAGTAATCATAACAATAGGTCTTTATTAGCCCTAGAGAAACTATTGTGAATAACTGCATTTTCTTGAGCTTTTAAATTTAGAAAAAGTTACTATTTTTTTGCTTCCATCTTCTTTATTTTATATAGTTAGATCCTGAAAAATTACAGATTAAAAATAAAATTTAATACTTTTTAATGCAGTATAAAACACATAACACAAATAATTACAATTTCTAATTTAGCTTGAAAAAATATGGCTTTATCTTTTTAGTCAGCAATCATAATCTTAATGTTTTCTATCTGATCCCAAACTTTCAAAACATAAGTTGTTTACAGAGTTGTATTATTCAATAAGCTAGTTCTTAATTATTTCAGTGTTTCCTCAAATATCTTTAATTAACAAGAAAATTATGAAAAATTGCACATTTTTAAAAGAAATTCAATAGATAAGTATACAAAGTAGGATGTGAAAATCAATCTTAATTACCACCAGTGTTTCCCTTATGTCTCCTCTACTCCTAACCTTCTTGCTCCCCAGAGATAATAATTTCTAACATTTTAGTATGTATCCTTCAAAACCTGCCTTGTAACATTTCTGTACTTTCAGTTGACAACAGTTCACAGACTGTGATGTCATTTCTTTTGGAAGCCCCACATTGGGTTGGTGGTGATTCTGTCCATCATTATTGCTTTGTCAACTGTGCCAAGGAGGAATGTTGATTCAGACTTGCACTCTGACCTCGTGGTTTTCTATATAGAAGAAAAAAGATGCATATAATGGTAACTATAATACAAATTGAAAGAGTTGTAAGATAGGAACAGATGAGGTGCTGTGGGATTCATAAGGTAAAGAAAATTTGCTTGACTGGCCAAGAGTGAATATTTGATCTGTACCCTGAAATATAGGCAAGATTTACATTGGGGGAAGGGCAAAAAACAGATGTACTGGCAAGAGAAAGCACAGTAATGTAGTCTTTACAAGGTTGTTCCATTTTTCTAGGCTATGGGAGCAGCAGCAGATCAAGATGCAAAGTTACTGTGAGGGGAGACTCAGCCTCCCATAAACTTTTGGAAACTTCTAAACAGTCAAGCGAGGCTCTAAGTAGCTTAGCCCATCATCAGGGCTCAGCTCAGACAGCAATCCTCTGGATGTCTTTTCAGATTCCTGCCTGTTACACTCTGCACAGTACTATCCGCAAATCCTATGTGTGGAAATGGAGTAGTTACAAGGGTAGTGACTTGGGAAAATCCTCAGAGTGAACAGTGGGCCTGAAAATGATAGCAGGAAATCAAGCAGGAAAAGATGCTTAAACCGTAGGATTCAGAAGGAAACTATGGGGAGGGTGGTCAAGGTGCCATCATGGAGAAAGCTGGACAGAGCAGGGGTCAGCAGCAGTCAGACTTGGGAGGTTTGGGTGGGTGTGGGGGTACTACTCCAGGGTATTTTTGCAGCAGTGTCCCTAAAGAAATAGTAGGTACTAGAATTTGATAAGGGGTCATTTCCTTATCCTACATTTCCAGGCTTAAGTTGGGAATATTCTCTTGTTTCTCAAAACTCATAGATGGTAGAAAGAGTGGAAATAATAATCATTCTGTTCCCACAGAGTGTCTCATGGGTCTGATAAAAGGGTAGATGTAGCAAGCCTAAATTCCTTTAAAAGTACTATTGAGCAAAAATAATACCTACTTTTTTAACATAGGAAAAATGTAAACCTACTTTTTTAACATAAGAAAAATGCAAGGAAAATGTTTAAATATCCTCCTACTAAACCCCTTTTCCCCACAATGAATAATTAGTATTTTCAGGCTAATGTATATTTTTCCAGCTTTTATCCATGCAAATTGGTGTATACATAGATTGGAATTTTAAAATTCTGATAATAATAATTTTGCATGCATATTATTCTGCAGATTGTTTCTTGCACTTAGAAATATGTCATAAAATTGGGCTGGGGATGTGGCTCAAGCGGTAGCATGCTCACCTGGCATGCGTGCAGCCCAGGTTCGATCCTCAGCACCACATACAAACAAAGATGTTGTGTCCGCCAAAAACTAAAAAAATTCTCTCTCTCTCTCTCTCTCTCTCTCTCTCTCAAAAAAAGAAAAAGAAAAGAAATATGTCATAAACATCCCTCCAAGTCAGTGGACAGAGTGCTAACTTATTTCTCTAGTCATTTTTAAATAGCTGTGTATAAATATAAATATTCCATAATTTTTTCTGCCATTCTTTTGTTAATGGGCATAATTTCCAGTTTTTTGCTACTACAAACAAATTACCCCCCTCAAAAAAAAAAAAAGTCCTGGGCATTGTGACTGTAATCACTCATAAATATCAAAAATAACTTTTATTTTGATGACATCTTTTAATGAAATACAGCAGTGTGTGCACTTTTGCTGTACCATAGGCTAGGCACTAGGTGACATAGAGCTATATAAGTTTAATTAGTTAAAATTAAGTAAAAGTTAAAATTCTTTCCCTTACGTTAGCTTCATTTCAAATGCTCAGTAGTCATGTGTAGTGGCTGCCATACTGAACAGCCTACAAGAGTCCATTTCTGTTCTACAGAAAATTCTGGAAGACCACCTGAACTAGACACTTGAATGGTACATTTTAAGGAAGAACATGTTTTCCAATGAGTTAGTGTTTTTATGAGAGCACATTTAGAAAAGTAAAAAGTTTGTGTCTTTATTGGTTGCCTCTGCAGTTACTTCAACGAGAATCAATACCCAGATGAAGCAAAGAGAGAAGAAATTGCAAATGCTTGCAATGCAGTTATCCAGAAGCCAGGTGAGGGCCAAGCCCAGGCTGCTCTGTGTGCTGCTCTTGTTACGCTGCATCATTTAGGCCACTGCATCTCCGACTCATTTCAAGTCAATGCTCTCTGCTCAGCCTGTGCCATCCTTCTGCAGGTCACTGCCTTGTCTTGTCCTGTCCAAATAGTACTTCTGAGGGATATTATGGCATTCAGAATCAAATGCTCACACACACTGGAATTTCCAGGGAGAGACCCTGCAAACGGTTTGAGACCTTGAAAAATTTTTTATTTTATGTATAAATTTTTCTTTCCAAAATTTAGCATAAATATATCAAGTCCAAAATGAACTTACAGTTTGAAATATTTAAATAAGCTTGCTAATAAAAAGATTAGATAGATTTTTCTTTTTTAAAAACAGTTGTTATACATTGTGTGATTCTGTATTCCTTTTTGAGTTGGCTCCTGTCTCCTCCCCACATTGGGATGACTTCTGCTTTGGAAAAACTTAGGTAACACCCTTTTAAAGTCCTGTTGTTCCTGTGCAAGTCAATGGAGCCACTTAAATCCTTCATAAGTATTTTATTCCATGTACTTGACTATTTCACGTTTTACAGATTTTTGTTACCAAAAACCATTCTCAGTTAAGGTTATCTAATTGATTTCCATTTGGCCAGTTACTTTGAATGGCTTAAAGATTATATGCTAATGTATCCATATCTTATAACAATGAAGCAGTAATTTATTTTCCCTTCTGTTAATGGACAATTGGGCATAATTTCCAATTTTTGCTACTACAAGCAATATGACAATGAAGCCAGACTTCTAGCCACACTATAACAGCTCCGACTATATGTAAGTGAGAGGATTCTGTACCCTTTTTTACATAAGCCGAAAGTCCTAGTTCTAAAGCTTTGCAGGTGCTTGAACTCTCCCTGGAAAACACTGTACCCATATATCACCAAGACCCTAACAAATCTGTTTTCTGGTTTCTCCACCCACTGTGGACTTAAAGCTGAAAAACAGAAATGGACAGGAGAGAAGGGAATGGTACAGGTGGGTCCTTATTGGCAAGCATGGTACTTTTTATAAAAAATTACATTCAAACCAAAGAAAATAGTAAGTCTGAAATGCAGCCTGAGTGATACTGTGTATTCCAGTGTAGTCACAGTAATGCATGGTCACAGTGGCCTTTAGCCTTCAAGGAAGCATGTGTCATATATTCCTGGTCTTAAGACAGGAAGAAAATAGTTAATAATGAAGGCCTTAAAGATGTAAGTAAATTTCGATTGTTTAGATACGTGATAAATAATAACAACATTCCCTGGAATGATGCTAATTAAATGAAGCCTCCACAATAATATCATAAGAACTTTGAATCTAGCACCCTAGCATACTGACTTTGTGGAATTATTTACTATTATGTTTGCCCTTATGAATCAAAGCATATTATATAAAGAAGCACATTGTGTTATTAGTTGCTAGTTATGTACTCATGTGTGTCTTTATTCATTTCATAATAATTTTAGTGTGCACATGCTACTATGTCATGCTAAAAAAAAAAAAAAAAGATTCTCCCTGCTGTTATTTTGACAATAAATGGAATCAAAAGCAACTTTTAAAGAAGAAAAGTATTATTCCTTAAAACTAGTTCATTCTTGGGTCCAAAATATAGATTATCTGAATTTTATTGCATGCATTCACAGGCAAAAAATTGTCCGATCTGGAACGAGTTACCTCCCTGAAAGTATATAATTGGTTTGCTAACAGACGGAAGGAAATCAAGAGGAGAGCCAATATCGGTAATGTATCTGAGAGACTGCTTTCTCTCATGAGGAAGTTACAAACATTGTGTTTAAGAGTGACTTCAGTTTATTAACTGCGGGTCTAAATGACCCTAATAAAAATCACCCTGTTTTTTTCTCATTGTATATTTATTTATTTATTTTTTGTAGTTTTAGATGGACAGCATGCCTTTATTTTGTTTATTTTTATGTGATGCTAAGGATTGAACCCAGGGCCTTATACATGCTAGGCAAGCACCCTGCCCCTGAGCTAAAGTGAAAAAGGAAGAAATAAAGCATTTCTTTCCCCGATCAAAGCTGTAACCAAAATAAGAAAAATAATTTTTTTAATTGATGAGATTGGGGTAGGAGATTGGTTTTGCACTTCTAAAATTGTATTTCGTTTAGACATACACTTCCTTTCATCATCCCAACTCTGTGATGTTCTGTAGGACCTCAAGACTAGTTAACAAGTTTTATGAATCAGGGTGGACCACATGACATGCTAGTGGCAGGGACAATAGGATGGCAAAGTGCATCTCCCTGAGCTGCATGCTGTTGGCTTCCACCCACTTGTAGTTCAAAAGAAACAAAATGTTGATGAATTGTAGGCTCTCGTTTAATGATATTCCAATTTCCTCAACATGAAAATTAATTGTGTTTCAGCCACTGTGATAAGGCAGCAGATAATTTAGGGATCTATTTGCTTTTTTCGAAGAAGCAGCAATCCTGGAGAGCCATGGGATAGATGTACAGAGTCCAGGAGGCCATTCCAACAGTGATGATGTTGACGGGAATGACTACTCCGAGCAGGTGAGCAGCTGGCACCTGGCCCAAGGTTCCTGGTTAGTGAGCAGTGGGACAGTGTAAGGACAACTTAGATCCTGGGGTGTGGTGGTGTGGGGTGGGGGAAGGGAAGCAGTCAGTGTCCCTCCATTCTGCTCACGTGTCTAGATAGAATTTCATGTAATTTGAAAGGAATGTGGTAAGATTCAGTTGTCCTGTTGAATTTGTGAGAAATCGCTATTCACCCACATGGATTTATTGTCATACAACAGGATACTTGGCAAGTACGCAATGGGGAGGAGGAGGAGGGAAGAAGTTCAGAGGGAGGCAGAGAAGCAGAGAAGGTAGAAGAAGAGAGGAGGATCTGATCCAAACAAGCAAGTTACACCATTCACCACACACACTCAGTGTTTTTGAGAAGTACTAGGGGCAACTGGGCAGCTGTGTGACCCATGCCTAAACATGTACTGACGCAGGGCGCAATGGAAGGCCCCACCACTCCAGCCCCATTGCCGTTGGAGCCCTCATGCCAGAGGAGCTGTTTTTCCACAGTCTCTCTGGCACAGTAACACACGCATCCTCTCATAAGTGCACCATCTGCATGTCTTTTCATCTCACATGTATGGGAACTCACCAGTGTGGTTTATTCTGCATTGCTTGGGGAAACGTGTATTTAACTGTAGCCACTGCATGGAGTAATTCAGTAACTAAGACTGTGGGAGTCCCCCCCCCACACCTGTGTGTTGACAGATTTCATCAAAAAATTTTAATAAGACTTAAGTTTCATTTCCATTTTGAAAATGTCGAGAATATATGGTCCCTTCCCTTCTACTAACCCAGCAAGAAAATTTTTGCTCTTTCCTGTGGCAGTTTTCCCTGCCCCTCAGCCAGTTAGTAAGCAGTCCATTATGTTCTTCCTTCTCCTGGCTGGTTTACTGACTCTGCTTACCAGCTCAAGCCCACAAGGTACTCAAGAGCGCGTGCTGTTTTCCGTGGACCCCTGCCTTAATCCTGAAGACTAATATGTGAAATGAGAGTGAAACAGTAACACCACACATCTCAGGGTTGCCTTTTAAGGACTCCAAGTCATAGCCCCCCCTTTTATTCAGAAGAATATTCTCTAAGTCTTTCTAGTTAGAAACGTTCCTGTTATTTTTCAGTAGACCAATAAAGAGGGATCATTTCCATCTTTTTTTTTGCAGATGCTCTGAGGGCAGCACATCCCATGCTTTTTTCCCAATGGGTTTACCCTTCCAAAGCTCTGTGATACAGAGTTCCCCTGAAGATGTGAGGGTGAGAAACATCCTCCTTCCTTGTGACATTGTTTGCAGTGCCTGACATGCACCTTGCTGCACCAGTTTTCTTTACAGCTTTACTGTTTAAGTGTTGTGCTTCAAGGGAGAAGAGCTTCAACTCACTCTAAGTTAGACACCCACTCCCTTTCCACAGCTACTTTCAGCAGGAGACACCACACCTTTCTCCCTGAGCCAGTTCAGGCCACGGCACTTTTGTCCTGTTGTAACTGAGATTTTTCTTCTTTTATCTATAGGATGTTGGTGCCTCTCGTTTTAAGTCTTGTTTACATGGATTCTAATAATCTATGAGTAGCAATCAGGAATTTAAAAACTCACTAGTGTGTCCTTCAATGACTAGTGCTATATTTGTTGCATTCAGATCCAAATTGTTGGGTTTTTAATCAATCAGTCCAGGTTTGATCACTACTAACCATTTTTTTTGATAGAATGAATAAAATTGAGTGAGAACAAAACCTTTTAGTTATTTTTATTGGATGAGTCATAAAAATGTCAACTGGAAGTCTCTGAACCTATATCCATTCAGTGTCTACTTAAATACAGTTCACCTCTACTCTGACATGAGATGCTTCCCAACCATGTCCTCCACAAGTGTTCTGCTTCCCCAGCCCCTGCATGCTTCTCTGTGAGCTAGAGCACAGCACCAGTCAACTGATAACATTCATTTCTTATTTCTGCACATCTAGGATGACAGCACGAGCCATAGTGACCACCAAGACCCCATCTCATTAGCTGTGGAAATGGCAGCAGTGAACCATACTATCTTGGCATTGGCCCGACAAGGAGCCAACGAAATCAAGACAGAGGCCCTGGATGATGACTAATCAGGGAGGGTTAAACATGACAAGTTAACTTAGTTTAGACGTAGCACCTTAGCAGACTTTCCTCAGTCCTTAACATGTGTTCTTACAGTATAACTTGCAGTTTCTTGTATGTCAGGTAGCCGTTAGGGTCTTGTTCTGTGAAGATGGCATGGTGCCCTCAGCCTTTGCATATACTCTCTCAGTATTAATTCCCAGTAAATAATAACCAACCAACCAACCAAACTCCCTCTCCCAGCCCCTGAGGCTAGAAAATCTTGCTGCTCCGTCTTAGCATTCCACAGAAGTGCTTCCAGGTATTTAGATAGCCCTCAGTTTTCAAATATTAGGCTGTGTGTAAAATCTTGGGTACCTTTAGATTCATATAACACTAGTCTGTACCCCCTTTTCCTTCCCCAAGATTGGTAGAATGCAAGCTGAGGTAGTGGCACAGGATTGACAGACACCATTTGGGGAGTATGCACAGAGTGAAAGGAACACTAGAACCCCCACCTCAGTGTGAGAATCACTGATTTCAGCTGCAATAAGCCGTGCCTCATTATAGTCACACTGTGGCTAGACTATACTTCTTTGGGTGCTGTGCTAAGAATGTCAATGGAAAACTCGATCTCAGATTTTGGTTGATGTTAACATGCCTGACACAGACATCCTTTCCTCTCACAAGCTGTGTGACTTAGTAGATAAAATACTGCCTTCTGCCTTTGGGACCATGATTTAAAACAAAACAAAAAGACAAAAAAATTACAAAAAAAAAAACCCAGCTTGAAAGCAGTATGAGCCGAATGTCCGATGGATGTTAAGTCCAGCTCTCTGAACCACTGTACATTCCGCAGCACAGTTCTCGGTGCCTGCCTAGAAAAGTCTTGGAGGTTATCGTGGAAGTTGCTTTTCTCCTATTGGTGTCCCCTTTCCCTGCTACCAAAAAAAAGTCTTTGGAGCTAAGGTCAAAGATGAGTGAAAGAACGTAGTCTTTGTATCCATTAACGGAAGCCCCTCAATCTGAGTCAGTAGAGGACTTTGTAGGGGATTGTGCTGACTATCACAGATGCAAAAACTTGCCCAAATAGAGCGAAAAAAGCAGGGGACATTTACCATTTACATTGTGAGTGTGCAAGATACAATGGGATGTAACTGCTTTGTTGTTCTCTTTACTCTGTCCTTGTAGAGGTATGAAAAGCTATATTGCTACAGGCAATTTATTTAATAATTGGAAGCCATATTGATAATAGATGTGGTAATATTTGTAAAGTTTAATCTACTTTAAGCAGCAGTAACTAATGGAATTTTTTTCCTTGATCACATATGTAGCACTTTTGTTACTTTTTAAAGATATTTATATTTGATAAATCTTTTTTCATTTTGAGAACTCAAAATACCAAACAGTGAACTTGCGTTTAAAGTCACCCTGTGATCACCTTGTCATCCAGTAGCAAAATGATGAACTATTCATGCATCAAAGAAAATTACATCTGCTGGCCTTGTATGAAAGTGATCTCCTGGCATCGCGATTAAATGACACACTGTCACTGTGGGTGAGAAGAAAGAGCTTTCAGTGGCAGGGTAGGGTGCGTCTGAAAGAGGCACAATGGCTGTGTGTTTTCTGCCTCATTCCATCTCCTTCATACGTCTTCATGTATCTAAGCCTTGTTTAAAGGAGTGTGTGGGCTGGCGTTGAGCAAGGCTTGTGTCTCTACCATTATCTAGAAACAGTTTCTAAGATGGAAGGAAGGTGCCATTTCCCCTTCTCCCTCCTCCCTCACCAAATGTATTCGAAGTGAGAGAGAAGAAAGATTCCTGACTTTGTCCTTGTTTTCCCCCTCTCGTTTGTGGGATTTTGAATATCTGCCAGTTGTTAGCTGGTCTCACTCCACTTAAGACATACACTGACAGGTCCTCCCCTTAGCCGTAAATCCTGCTTATATATAAGTATGAAGAAGTCTGCGAGGGCATTAGAATGCCATCTACCTAGTCTGTGACTTTAAAGATCTGCAGTAGGGCCTGGTCCTGCCAGTGGGGAAAATATATGCACTTTTTCTCCCAGCTTCCAAGAATTCAAGTAAAACTGAGCAGTCTTCTCTGTCTTACTGTGTTACTTGAACCAACAAATTCAAGAGTAGCATTTATTATTCTCAGGAATGAGCCCACCACCACCACACACCTAGTCATATTCTTTCTTGGTTTATTTGACTTATTTCAGTTGGGAGATTTTGTTGGCTTTATTTCCTTTTTAGAAGAAATATGTTGTATCTTTCCTTTTTGGTGGATTTTTTTTTTCTTGGCTTATTCTCAGTTGAGTCAGAAAGAACAAGGGGAGAAAGAAATGTATTCTCTGACAAGCTACTTCCATGATTTATTGTGGGGAGATTATTGTAATTGATGGCTTCTTTACGATGGGATTCCTGTGTCATCTGTTCTTGCCTTTTTAAAGGAACAGACCCAAACTGCTAAGACAGCTGCAGTTTCTAAAGAAATTCAGTGATTGCCATAGAAAGAGCTAGAATGCTTCATTGTTTCAAGGCTTTAAAAGAAGCAAAGAGATGTCGGAGAATATGGTGGAGCTGGCAGTGTGTAGGCAATGCGGACCCTGTCTTGGAGTGTGGTGACAGTGAGGTGGCAGGCACCCTGGGGGTGGGGCTGTGGAGGAAGGCTGGGGAGGGGTGCCTGCTAGGACTTTTGCTTTTTACCAAGAAGAAAAAGTTCCTTCTTTGGGGTTAAGATTGAAATATACCATCAGATTTCTGTTTGTCTCCAGGTTCACTCTGGCTATATCTTGTCCAGACCACCTTTAGTTCTTATAATGGCAAATAGAGCTGCCACTGTTTGATTTTTAGTATCTTTGGGTGGTAAATATTTTCTTAAGTTTTTTTCAGGTTTTAGATGTGGTATTAAAATAGAAACCCTACAGTGCTCTATTACTAAAGGGAAAGGAGCCAGGCTCTTCAAACTCACACTTCTCCGTGTCTCTGCCCCTGCTTTCATCTCTGTCTGTATTTCTCCAGGCCCCAGAGGGCTCTTTCAGGGACTATTCTTCCTGGTTGAGGAAGACTCTTAACAGTGAGGTGTGAGGTGACCTTGCCAGCCAAGTATTCATGTGGTTTGTCCTTTGTTATTTTTTAGATACTTTAATCGGATGACTGTGGTCAGATGGGTAGACTTCCCTTCCTTCCTGAAACACTGGACATGGGACTTTTCAGGATGGACCATCTGCCTGTGGATAACCTTACTAGCAGATGGAAGCAGGCGAGGGGACACAGGAAATACACTCTTACCTAGGCTTTCTAGCACCATTCAACACTAAGTAGACAGTTTCTTTCAGCATAACATATAATGTAGAAGTACCCCATAAAACAAATTTCTTCCCAATTTTTGTCCTTTAAGTGCCCCATCACAGGAAAAGGACACCTGGGACAGACAAGCCAGGAGCCCGGTTTAAAGTACCTTTCACCCCAACTCAGTAGAAGTAACCCCACAAAAGACTTGAAAGAGGATGATCATTAATACTGAGTTACACAAATCCAGTTCTCCAGTTCCTGAAAGATTTATGATTCAACAATACCCATTTTAGGTCCAGATGTCTGGATATATTTTTACCTCAAAGGGGATAACACATGAAGAAGTCACTGAGGTTGTTTCAATTCTACCTATTTGGCCTTTGTCTTTAGGGAATCTTGATTTTAAAAACTTGCCTCTTGGATACCAATCATCAGGCACCAAGTATAATAGACTCTCAGTCAATAATCTGCCACTTCCTGTCTCTGAATAGCTCCTCTTCCATTTTCTAAGTGTTCTACCATGGTGCCCTCATCTTGAGTTGACTTTACTAGAACTGTTAATCCTCTGGCCACAGGCAAAGTGGGTGGTTCACCCATCTCTGAACACAGACCCCCTCCTGTGATGGCCAGCTTCATGATGTCTGCCCACAACAGTGGAATTGAGTTCTATTCCCCAAACAACTGCCCACCCTGTCCTAGAAATGTGAACTTGAAGCCCTTTTTCCCTTTGATCCTAAGGAGGATTTGATTAGAAGTAGTCTTCCCTTTTAGCTTATGGCTCTGCCTTTTAAAATTGCCTTTTATCTTTTGTTCAGAGAACAACCAGAGTATTTTTTTTCCCAGTGAGTCTCAACAGATTCTTAGGCAATAATTTTCCTTGTGGTTGATGATCTTGTGTTCAGTAGTTCTCCACATTTAATAGTTATGACCTCCTACGTTTTGTGTTGGTTTCATGTTAATCTTTGTGATCAAAATCCTAAGCCTGAGTGGGGGTAGATTTCTTTCCTTTTGTTGTGATTTTTAGTGATGTTTGACTACTGTATTCATTGGGGCTGCATCAAGACCAGCCAGATCCATTTATAGCTTTACTGAGCCAGATTTATTTGTCAAGTTTTCCCAAGTAAAAGTTGGGCACATTGACCAGCTCTGCTGGTGGTGTCTTCAGGAGAATGGGAGTGGGGCGGGAGGTCTAGGGCAGGAGTGGGTGTTTCATGTGTACAGCATTCCTTTTTCTGTGTACTCTTTAAATAGCAAGGATGTTTACTCAGGATCACTCGTCAGCCATATTGGTTTTGGCAAACTTAGCTCATGCCCTGAAAACTTTTTCTTCGCTTACTGTTTCTTCATTTCCATAGTGTCTGGCTTAACGTAGCCTGAAGGTAGTGTGTACCCTGATGGGAGTGGAAGATTTCCTGGGAAGGAACTGTGAGTGGCCAGCTTATTTCTGAGGATTTCATGGTAGCGTGCGGTCAGAGCAGAGGCCCTTTCTTTTTCTGTTTTGTGGTTTTCTTCATTATCCACTTTTGGTTTCAAAGATGCCTATCACTTAAGAAGAGAGATCTCCTTATCGCTCTCAAGAGAACTAACATACAACAGCAGCAGCAAAGCCTGTTGAGATGCAGCACACCAACACACCAGTTTCCTATTGACTCAAACTCCTCTGAACACACAGGGTATATTCAGAAAGGCCATTGTCAGTGCCCTTTCTCTACAAACTGAAAGTGAGAAGCCCTGTCCTTGCCTCCTACAGGACTGATGTTTGACTCGCCTCTCAGGAGTGCAACTTCGTTCCTATCTAGGTACCTTCAAAAGCTGGAAGTTTGTAAATTGAGAATTTTTTGAATCCATTCTATTATTCTTTCTTTGTGGGGATGAGAAATCACAACAGAAAGAAAGTTGACAATATAAGAAATAGAGTTTCCGATACCAGTTTCTTTTGCAATCAACAGGGGAAGAGAGGAGTGAGGGACAGTCTGACTGCACCCCCTTCTCATCTCACTGACTATGTATAGATGCCTTGGCATTGCAAATGTGCAGGTCCTGGAACTTTCTTTCATTATTCTTAACATTTGGGCAGAACTAACTCTAGCTGATCTCATTGGGGTGAAACCTGACTGGTCTTTCTGCAATCTGCAAGTTTATCGCGCACATCCCACACCCATCAGGGTGAAACCTGACTGGTCTTTCTGCAATCTGCAAGTTTATCGCGCACATCCCACACCCATCAGCCCCAACAACAGCAGGACACGTCAGCAGAGGAAGCTTTGCAGCTGTCCTCTGCTGACGTCCCCTTTCTGTGGCCAGTCTCAGCAGTAGTCCTCATGCCCAGAGTCTGAACCTCAGTGCAGTGGCCTTGGCAGTGGGCAGCAGGAGCACATGCAGCTTGGTATGTGCTTGGGAAGTCCTGGGAGGGCAGCTTCCCTGACTCCATTTTCATTTTCTCTTTTAAATAAGACTGGCTGTGTACAGCCATAATTAACTCACAAATTCACATTGGTGTGCTGTGATCAAATGAAGGTTTGGCTGAATCTCTTCAAATTGTAACCATGGTAATTGAGGGGGGTGGCAAAGAATGAATATATAAAAATATAATGGCAATTGTTCTGAATGACTGAGTGTCCTCCTGACATGTAATTAGCTGTTTTAGCAGGATGTAGATTGGCATGGTCATAATTAAGAGGATTTCTGTCCTTTATGTGATTGAAAATAGCAGAGCTTCCATCCCTGTTCCTTTTTAGCACTAATGCTCCCAAGAACATTTGGAACAGCAACTCAGTAAACTAAAATAATGACACAGTATTCATGTGGTCCCAAAGTAGAAGAGAAAGATTTGGAGTTATTTTAGTTCCAAAATGGAAGCCACTCATTGTTGCCCACCATCTGACTTCTAGTTCTTGAAACTGCTCTCACATCCACTTTCAGCCCACTTCACCTGGGGCAGGAACCGAAGTCGGAATCCCAGCTGCCAGCCTGGGACAGCCTGGGGCTGCCTGCACCCACTTGCTGGCCTTCACTCCTGGTGCCTTGCTGGCCTGACATGGCGACAGTCACAGCCTCCGGGTATTTCTATTGCCATCACCGGTCACTATTCACCAAGCAGAACTTCATGGGGGCGAATGGCATTTTCCTCCCTGGATCATAGGATCCAGAGCAGATGATACGAATGGAACCTGGCGCCTGTAGTATTCTGAAGTCACCAGGGCAGGAGGACGCGTGAGTCTGCCCCAGCTCCTCACTTGCCACGAGGAGGGTGCCACCTTAGGTGACTCCACTGTGTCAGTGGCTTGTCTCCTCTCCCTTCCGCTGTCCTCTATCCCCGCTGCGCCTGCCCTGAGGGGCATCACATGATCTTTACACTGTCTGTGGCCCTTGCTCTTCTCCTGCTGAAGCGTCACGTTGGGTAGGATCCAAGACGCGCTGGCCTTTCTCTGGCTGGCTTGGTGTTTTTTGTTGCTTGAGGGAGCCTTTACCTCACTATTCCATCAAGAGCCTGCAGGAGCGTGGCGGCCAGCAGCGCCACGGGCCTTCTTAACCCATCCCCTGTGTGCTCAGGAGTCATGCTCTGGGAGCCTGGGGCCATTTGCCCGTCCTCCCCAAGGCTGGACACTCCAGGACTGGTTAGTAGTCGCTGGAGAAAACTCAGCACTGGTTTTTTCCCTTCTTCTTTTAGTGTTTGTCCTTAAACAAGCCTTTCTCACACCTCAGGAGCAGCCCTTGCCTAGCTGACCTATTAGTTACACTTCCGTTTCCTGAGGATGCCGAGAGGTGGCTGCCTGTTTAGAACTATCCTCTTCCCCTGTCCCCAGACACACAGTTTAGAAGGTTTTTATGCCTCTTATCCTTCCCAAAATACCTAAGAAATGTATAGAAGTTGGGCTAGTACAGGGAAAAGAACCTGTGAAAGATTTTTATTCAGCGCTTCTATAAACGCCACCTTACCCGTCACCACCAACACACGCGCACGTGCACGTACATCTACAGTCACTGAAGGCTGCTCTCTTTGGGATCTGTCAGTCTCTGGGACAATTGATTATGGGTTTATAACCCCAAAAAGCAGAGCATCCCTTATCTTGTTTTCAAAGCTACTGAAAGGGGACTCTGCATTAACACTTGGAATCTGCCCTAGGACTAGAGACTCTAAGAACTGACCAGATGGGCTAATTCTGTGATCTGTGAGACATGCACCAAGACAGCCAGCAGAAGGTGGGACCTCCTTACATGAGCTGCTGGCCTAGGGATCTGAGTCCCAGATGTGCTGCCCCAGGGACAGTGCTACTTACACAGACGTGGCCCTGCTTACATTCTCAGATGTTCCCAGAGGCTACTCTGATCAAACAACCCTACACCAGATGTTCCTGTACCACCAGCAGCCCACCCTCCCCCAAGAATACCCCTCACCAAACTGATGAAGACCTAGGTAATACTCACGAAGTCAGCTTCTTGGAAGAAAACAGCAAAAGTAAATTGTCTTTGTAAGAATCTAGAGGGAAGATGCTGTCATCTGTAACCCTGATAGTACCGGAGACACTACTATTCCTTTGAGTTCTCAGCTCAGAAGAGCACCTGACACACGTGGTGTTCCCTGGACACTGGGCCAAGTATCTGTACTGCCGCCCCGATCCTCAGGGAGGCCCACACCCTCACCCTGCAAGCCAGATGAGCCTCCAGCGCGTGCTGCTTCTAGTAGGATGCAAGGCAGGGGGGACCTGCTCACCCCTGCTGCTGAAGTCGTGTCTGTCAACCTGCTTCCTTTTCTCCTGGGACAGCACTGGCCGTCCAGTGCAACAGCACACCATCACATGGCCCCTTCTCTGTGAGCTGAGTACCCTTTGACGTGGAGCCAGCCAGGAAGAGGACCCAACCCCACACCCTTCCTCCACAGCCCTCCCTGAGGCCTCCTCCTGGGTCAGAGTCACCGCAGGCCCCACAGCTTGTCAGGAGGGGCAGAGCACATGCAAGCGGGTGCTCCTTGCCCCACCCCGCCCCCGCACAGCAGTGGAGGCAGAGTGGCACGTCCAGTGTCTGCTGCTCTCTCTTCAGCTCTCTTAGCAACTTCCCAGGTTCCTGCTCTGTCCAAATATGGTTTTGCTCAGCCCTTTCCTCACCCTCCGTCCTCTGCACTGTAGTCTTGATGGGAGGCAGCGGGGTGTGGGAACTGGGCTCTGGTGTTGTGGTATTGAGCCTCCGCCTTGCCTTGTGCCTCCCTGGCTCCTTGGAAGCCTTAACTGGCCTATAAGTAGCAGCTACATGGAGACAAACCCAGATTCAGGCCCAGTAGGGAACTCTAGTGTCCAGAATCCAGGAAAGATTGAGCTGCCTTGGGGTAGAGGTTTTGGGCCCTGTCCTGCCAGGGTTCATGTGGGGGCTCAGTGACTGGTCAGGAACACTGAAGAGGAGACACAGGCTCCAAACGGACCTGAAAATTCAGCTAACGAAAATTCTGTGCCCTCTCCCTTTTCAGCTCTTTCCCCATACTTGATGGGTTCTCTGGGTAGTAGTTCTGTCACGTTCTCTCTTCTGATCTGTGTCACATCCTAGGCATCCTTGAAGCCCAAGAGAGTGAAAACAGGAGCAAGACCACAGGTGTGGGCAGTCCTGGTAAGACAGTCTACCAGGTGACTAGTTAGGGCTGGTTGTGTTGTTAGCTGGCAATGGGGAGTATCTTACCCAGCGCTCATCCCCCATGAACACCTTAATTTGGAGGGGAAAGGGTATGTGTGCCTTTCATTTTTGTACTGATCCAGATTTTGCTTCTCTGGTGGTGGTCAGATGACGTGGAAATTTAGAACAGGGGCCACTGCTTGGTGCTGTGCAAGGAGGGAGCCTACAGGGGTCCCGGGCAGAAGCAAGACTTAGGACTTGTGGTTTCAAGGTGTGTTCCTCCCTCTAGGAATTGCCAGCGTCCCAGCACTTCCAGGTGGAGTCTGAACAGTCTTGTTCTGTGGCTTCCTTTGAGCACAGAAACCTCTCCCATTTTTGTTTTATTGGAACTAAGAGCCCAGCATAAATGTGAGCGTCACTTTCCCACCTCGACGTTCACTGAAGCTGTTAAACTGGAAACAAGGATGTCAGTGCTGCGTCAGTGTGAGCCTCTGCGGTGCCACACTGTCCTTTCTGTGTTGGGGCCAGAGCCAGGGGCAGCACAGGCTGAGTAGCCCACGTGCACTCTCAGGGGATGAGTGAAGCACCTCCCTGCAGCTCTGGAAGTGGCCACCAGGAAGGCCAAGCCAGAGTTCCAGGGTGAGGGCAGAGTTGGCTCTCCACACTCTGGAAGCTCTGGCCGACCCTGTATGTAGCACTTTGGGGTGGCCCGTGGCAGCCCAGCCTGCTGCCTTAATGGCTGCAGACTGGGGAACTGGAGAGGCCTCTGCAGGCCCCTGAGCCCTACATAGATCACTGGCTTCTTCACACCTCCCGGCTGCAAGGTGGGATGCTCTCTCTGCTAGAATGTGCCAAGATCACGGCAGTGGCGTGCCCCAAAGAGCCCACAGCCTTCTCTGATTTCCCCCCGGGCTCGCCTCCCTCCCAGGGGCATGTTGGGTGTATTTCCAGGATAAATTCTTATTTATGTTTAAGTGCCTAAGCAAGTTACAGACCTCTGGGACCTGCCAGAGAGTCAGCCTGTGCCCTGTCCTTCCCACCCTGCACCTGGCCCTCAGGGTGGGCATCGAGTGGCTGCCCCTCCCTACTGCCCCTAGCTGTTCTGCAGGCAGAACGACCACAAGGGTAAGCAGTGGGGAGAGCTCTTCCTGGCCCGCAGGCTGGCTTCGTCACTGTTCCCTGTTTCTTTCGTCGGTGTGCTTATGTTCTTGGTTCGTAGAGAATTTTGGGGAGTCTGCTTAGCCATCTCGCTGGCTACTGAGCAATGGGGACAGGGAAGCAGGACAGTCTCAAAGCAGAATCTGTCTGGTAGCAGTTGGAGGATGCACCCAGATCCAGGAGGGCAGAGGTGAAGCAAGCACAGCCTGAGCCTGGTGCCTCATCCCTCCCCAATCGCAGGGGCAGGGCGCCTGCTCACAAAGGCTGCCGGTAGGGTGTTGGGCAAGATCCAGCGTGCAGCTTTGGGAGTGAGTGTGAGAGTGTTTGCTTCTTTAGAGTGATGTAAGTGTGACCTAGCTATGGCCTTTATTCCAGGTGAGTGTAGGACAGATGTGTTGTGACTGTGCTCTGTTCAGATCACATTGCCAAGCAGCACACCGAGGACCTGTGGGTACATGAAAAGGTTTTGCAAAATGGAACAATCCCTACTCAGGCACTTTATTTTCATTAATAACCCAGCATTTTCGTTCAGACCATGTAACAACCCGAACTCTGTGCATTCACACACGGCGTGTGGGAAGGCGTGCCAGTGGAGTTCTGCCAGGAGGAGAAGGGCAGGTGGCTGGGTTGTGTCACACCAGAGTGCCACCAAGCTGTGGTGCAGACCAGGCCTGTCTGGGGGTGAAGTCACACAGCTAGGGCAGCGGCACCGTCCTCCCTTAGGTCCTGCCCAGTGCTGGCAGTTGCAGTGTTGCTGAGCAGAGGTGGTGTGAGTGGGGGTGCAAGGAGAGGCAGGCAGCAGGGGACCTGGCCGCCCTTAACTGGATCGAACACTCCAGTCAGAGCAGAGTGCTGAGGAGTGAGGTCATTCTAGACAAGTACGCTTGTTTTAGCATCTGTTGTGGGCCGGGCACTGGCTGGCATGGCAAGTTTTGTAGGAGGGGTTGTACGGTCCAATCAGGTGCCCCAGGCCAAAGGGGCCATGATTCCCAAAAGTATTCTGCTGCCACCAGACTTTCAGGTGTCAGATGGGCCGTGAAGGATCCTGCCAGATGAGTGGGCAGCACAGCCCCTCCCTGCCTTGGCCATTGTGTCTTAGTTTTTTGTGTTTCCCTTTGGGTTCCCCCCATCTCTGTCCCCATCTTGTGCACCATGTGTCCCTGAGGGCGAGTCACACCTGTGTCTGAGTCTGCTGTATGGTGTTCAGTCTACCTCAAGGGTCATCATGGTAAGCTCTGTCCACACGAATCCTCCTTACACGCCACACACTGGAATGTATATCTCCCTGCCCTCCCGCCCTCCATAGCCCCTGACCCCGTGTTTCCTGTAATCACAACTCCTAGTGCAAATTGGATGCTGCTTTAAATGTGAAAACAATTGTTCAAAAGCTATAAAACCTGAATGAAAGCTAAAGCTGAATTTATAAGCCTTGTTGCATATGAGCCAAAAGTGCAAAAAGCTCTATATACTGAACTAACCTGCCACTCGTATAAATATAAATATATATAAATATATTAAAATCAGACTGTTCTACAAAATTGTGTATTTGTATTTTTGTGTACGTACAATTTTCTGCTAAGCAGAAGGAGGATGTAGTATAGGATGCTGTGAGAAAAGACTTGGTTTAATCCTGTTTCTTTGTTACTTATTTTTGTTAACATCAGATGCCTGTCCTTGTCTTCTGTGTTGACACTGTTTGGAAAGCTGCAGCATCTCTTCCTTAAGGCCAGGGTCCACGAGAGGATGATGTCTGGGGCTTTTGAGCTGTTGCAGCCAACAGCCACCCAACAGGGAGTGTGGCTCATGGAAGCCCCGGGTGGAACCCGGAGCCACTCATGGACCTTTGGTGGCACGGAGGGGAGGGAGGGCTGACGCACTTCAGACCAGGCTTGGCATTCTGACTTGCCCCTGGGAAGCAAATCTCACTTCTAGAAACCAACTTCCCAACAGAAACGTCAGCTCCCCCTAACAGACTCCACTGGGCCCATGGGGAGTCGGGCGGGAGAGCTCTGTCTTGGGAACAGGACCTCTGGTTTCTGGGCCATCGGTCTGCCCAGGAAGCAGCAGGTAGCTCTGCCTGGCTGGTGCCCAGCTCCCCTTCATAGCAGTCGCTGCCTCTTTGAGGTTAGATTTCCACATGCCTCCCGCGGAGCTGCCCCGCTTCACCACCAGACCTCCAGCCCACACCCTGGGGCATCTCAGAGCCCACTCTGCCGGTGCTAAACACAAGAGGGGGTTAAAGTGGCCACCAGTAAAGACCAGAGCCTGCCTCCAAAGGCCAGGCTGAAAGATGAGCTCCGGGTGCCCACCGTTGCCCACCCACCTCAGCCCCCCAGTCCCTCGCTGGGAAGTGTCCCTAGGGAGAGCGATGCTGCATCTTCACCTGTAGGACTCAGTTCACGGCAGTGTGTGACTGTAGCAAGCGGCCCTTGTTTCTGGATGTAAATGGTCAAAGAAACAAGTGCTCTATTGTATTGATTAAAATAGTTCTAATGAGTCCTGTTTCATTGTATCTCCTATTCTGGATTAGTGCCTTTTGGACAGTAGACTGTTCTGTAATTAAAATGTAGTATATACTGCTTTTTTGTACAGTTTTGTTTTAATAAAACTTTTTTTTAATTTGTGTTTATTTTAGTATTGTACCTATTAGAGAATAAAATGTATAACTGAACAAAGACTGGGATTTTTTTTTTTTTTTTTTGGACCAGAACATGCTCATTTGGAATGCCTGTCACTGCTGAAGGGGTTCAAGGGTCCTATTCTTGGCACTCTTTTGTGCTTTTCTCAAAGGGATAGGGGAGCCCAGAGACCTGTGGAGAGGCTCACAGCACTGGGCACTACGAGCTTCAGAAAGCCCCCGTCCCCCACTTCCTGACCCTCCAACCTGTGCTCCTGGGCACCTGCTCCGTGTGGTCTTCCAGGAGCTCCCCTGCCCCAAACCACCTTCCCCAAGGAGGGAGCGCTGCTCAGCCTGCCTGCTGGGTCTCTCCTGGGACCTCTGGCTTCCCCTTGAACAGGAGAAACAACAAAAGCTGACGCTCCGTCTTGGTTTTCTTTCTAGGCATGCAGTTTCTGAGCAGACTCATGCCACACTCTGGAGCCCACTGATTTTCCTCAGAGGAGAGGGGCTCTTTTTTTTTCTTCTCAGTAGAATTAGAAAACTCTGCAAAATTTTAAAACTGCCCCAAACCTTGGAGTTGCCAAAGGGAGACAGGTAGGGCAGGACAGCAGATGTGGGCAGAGGCAAGCCAGGACCATCCCCACCCCATGCTGCTCTGCTACTTGGCCTCAAGTGCCATTTCTCCTTATGCAGAAACCATGAGCTGTCAGTACCCAGCCTGCTTGCCTGCCTGCCTGCCTGTCTTCCATGTGTGCCCTGCAGCCTGGCGTCTCCCTAGCTGCCCTTCACCAAGTCCCCTCGATGGCGTCCCAGGGCCGCCTTCCTCATACCCCACCAAGGCAACAGGCCCACCTACCGTGAGGCTCATCAGGATAGCTGTTTCCACTGGACCATCTGCTCCAGGAGGCTGCGCTCAGCACAGTTACCAGTGTTCCAAGTGATTCAAATAGTGAACAAATGAACTAATGGTGACATCCACTGGGAACCTGTCCCGGGGTCTGAGCAACTATAAAACCCCAGAGCCTGATGCAAACAGAAGACATCTCATTGAGTTGCAAGAAAGCAGCCGCTTGAGAACTTAGGATTTACCCTCAGACCTCGATAAATTCCACTCAGATTCCTGCTGCTTTCAGAGCAGGGCTGCTGTGGCTGCCGCATTTCTGTCCCTAGTTGGCAGTGCTTATCTCTTGACAACAACTCATCTGCACTTAGGAATACAAACAAGTCCCATTCAGTTGTGTTCTGGCGGATGGCCACAGTCCTCCGTTGGCAAGGAGGCCGTGACTGTCGGCCATGAGGGGAAGGCCGAGTGATGCAGCGGCCAGGGAGGAAACCTGCACAGGGTGGCGGTCCTGGGCCGTGAGTGGGACTTCACAGGCAGAGCCAAGGGGCCTAGCCACCTCTCCCGGCTCAAAGGCCAACCTGCCATCCTCGGTGTGCTCCAGACCTGTGCTGGGCACACAGCTGGGCAGATGGCGGTAGGAGGTCAACCTCACTGGCAGTAGGGCCCAGTAAAACTGTCAGGCCCCACAGCCCACCTGGACTTGACCCAGACCCTGCCAGCCACAGCCATCATCCTCCCTTCCCAAAACCCCTTAAAGCAGAAACGTGTAGGGTCTGCCTACCTTTCAGCTGTAGAAACCAGCCTACACTGGTTTTCTGAACAGGCTAAGGAGGGGTGTGTGCCAGGCCCACCCTTCTAGCTTCCATCTTGAGATGCCCACCACCATCACCAGTGACAACAGGGCCATGATGGGGACAGTCTGCATGAACCCCCATCTGTGTAGAAAAGGGAGGAAGCAACAAGACCAACCCCAGACAAGGCAAGAAGTCATTGGCTTTATTCAGAAGCTGCTGGTCATTTGATGGGAAGGCATATATGGTACAGAGTTACGGCGTTTAGTTCACCACACAGAGGAATCATTAAAATCATTACAATTCATTACAGTCTTTGGATTTTTTTTAACTCCCATTTAATGTGTACCAAATCACTATAATCCCCAAATCAAATCACTTCTCTGTGTGAATTCAAGATATTTACAAAATCCACACAGAGAAGCTGTTCAGACTCTCCCAACACCAGTAGCGTGTGCAGCTCACCAGGGCACCAGGCCTTACAGAGAGAAAGAGGCTTTGGGTACAGTTGTTGTGGGGGTGCACCCCAGGGAAGGCACTACAGATGGCCCCGCCACCTCAGTGCCTGGGGCATGGGGCTGATGGCACCAGAAGCATCAAAATACGCTCCACACCCTGTAGCCTCCGCAGACAGGGCGCCTAAGCAAGGACAACTCGAACCCAGAACCTCCTGCTTCATGTATAGGCAATGCTTAAGCCCAGGAGAGAAAAGACCAGGAGTGAAGGGGACATGGACAACTCTAGGCCTTCTCAGGAACCCGGATACACACCTTTCCTGTCCCTCCACTGCCCAGCACTTCAGTGACCATCCCTACTGCACACCCTTGTTTCTCCAGCCACAAGTTAGTGTTAATTTACGCCAAAGAGCAAGAGGAAAGACTAAACCTGAGCAGGCCTCACCCAGCACCTGCGCAGCTCGGAGACAGGGCTGCCCAGGAAGCCGAGGGTAGCAGAAGTGCTGAGAGCCTCCCACAGGGAGCAGCTAGTGCCTCCCTCTGCCCTAGGGGATGAGTAGGTTCAGTGCAGGAAGGACCCAGGGGCAAGCTGCTGGCAAGGCCCAGTGGGGTGCTGTCCACCAGCCTCCCCTCCAGCTGTGCTGTCCTTCCAGAGGCCACATCCTGCCCTCGGGGCAGGGGCAACACAGGCACGCCCTGCGCCCCCTCAGCTATGGACACAGACACAACACCAATAGGACCAACTCCTCACAGGCTCACGAGACCCCGAGCACAAGACCCTAAGCTGGAAGAAAACTCCAGCCAAGAGCGCAGAGACATCTCCACACCCCAGCACACGCCTGTCCCCGCAGGCCTGCCCAGGCCTGTGAACAAGGCTGGAAAGGAGGCTGAGCTCGCTGCACCAGGTAGGGAATGCCCCTGGGAGATGGGAAAAGAGGCCTGGGTGAGAGAAGGTGTCCCACACTCTGCAGGACAAGGACGAGGGGCCTGAGCCACGTTGGTCAAGCCTCCCGGCTCCTGCGCTCCTGCTCACAAGCTCTTCAAGTCGATGATCCCTTTTTATCCTCCTCCACTTTAAAGGCCCAGAATGATGAAGAGCAGTACCAAGTTCCCCTCCCGGGCCTATGACCATGGCTCCAGCAGGCCCTGCCCGACTCCCACCTCCAGCTTTTTCTCCTGGGGCTCCGGGGGCTTGGCCTGCCCGAGGGAGGGGCTGGTCCCTGCCCAACAGCCACACAGGGGACACTGACTCCAACTGAACCAGACTCCAGAAGAGCCATGCTGCGCAGGAGGGAAAGGAGAAAAGCCAGGCAGAATCCACAGCCCACATTGTCCCCAAAACAGGAAGGGAAGGCTGCTGGTCAATGCCTGCCTCAGGATGGAGGCTCCCTCCAGTCATGCTGTCCCAGGAAGGGGCAGACCGGATCCCCTTGGCAGGGCCTTGGCCAGCTCTGACCCCTCACAATGCCCGCTCACAAGGGGGGGATCATGAAGATGCCAGCCCCAGGATGGGCCTGTGCAGACACAGGCTGGACGCTGACCCTGCCCGAGGGACTGCTCCGGCCTGAGCCTGTTCCTGGCCGTCCCCTGGTGGTCAGAGTGCCCTGGGTTAATTGTCCTGGCCTCTGGCACCATGTGCTGCCCATGCTGGCAGAGAATGCAGGGGGACCAGCTCGGGCTTGGTGGCCCCATCTGGAGATAAGGTCTAGCACTGCTTCTCATAAGGGGCTTCAAACCTCTTTAGAACCAGATTTCTCACCAAAAACTTCCGCGATGGTTTTTCCAAGAACCAGACCCAGCTGCCAGGAGTGCCCAGTGCAAACTCCAGCCCAGAGGTGCTGTCCTGAGCTGGGGTCGGTGGGCAAGTTGGGGCTGCTGGAGACAAGACAGTCTGGGGGTATCCTCCACCCACCGGGACCAGGCCTGGCCCAGTTTTGTGCACAGGCGCGTGTGTGCGCGCGCGCGCACACACACACACACACCCCTCAACACAGCTGATAAGAAAGGCCCCAGGATGAGAAGCCTCCCATCTGGCAGGGAGGGGAGCCACCCCTGGGGAGGCTGTGGCTGGGCCTGCCTGTGGCTGCTCTGGGAGCCTGGGAGGGCAACCAGCCGCTCCCTCCCCAGGCCGCCTGCCCACCAGGTGGAGGAAGTTAAAATGCCACTGCGCACCAGCGAGGGGGGTGCCCCTCTGTGCTCCTCCCTGTCCCCTCTCATCGTGGACAAAGGCCACCAACAAACACGTGTGTGCAGGCCACACACACACACACACACACACACACACACACACACCCCAAGAGCATGCTGTGGCAAAGGCAGTGAGTGGGCTGACATTTTAACTGCACATGCTCATCCATTCTACTGTCCCCAGAGCCCGGGTTGTGGGCAGGTGAGTGTTCTTCCGGGTTTAGAGGTGGAGGGAGGAAGTGAGGCCCAGCACAGGCACCAACTTCCTGAAGCCTTGTCTGCATGGCCTCAGGAGGCCACTGTGGCTTTGTGGGGCTCTGATTCTGATGCCCACCGTGGGCTCCTGGGAATCCGTCAGCCCTGCCCACTCTGTGGGCCCTGCAGGGCCAGAGCTGGTGGGAAGCACAAACAGGAGGGCTGTCAGCAAAACTGCACCCGGGGCAGGGACTCAGGCACGGCTCTGGGGCCAGACAGACTGTGTGTCCGCCTGTCGCCTCTGGCTGCTGCCATTCTTTTCTGCAGCTCAGTGGCCTTGTCATTTCCATGGGGACAGCAGGACATGTCCTGTCGGGCTGAGCGAGGTCTAAAGCTCACGCTGGCAGGAGGCGCCCTGGAACAGCAGCTTCTCTCTCTTCTCTGCTGCTCAGGGACCAGCCACTGGGGTCCTTACTGAGGAGGTCCCCTGAGTCACACCACATCACCTCCTGGCTGCTTTCTGACTCACACCCTGCTTGCTTCCTGCCTGTTCCTGATTGACTTATCCACAGGGTATCTTTGGTCTCTC